ATATAGAGCACAATTTTTCATATCTCTGGTTGTATACTAGAAATTAATTTCTTTAAAAAATTTCACAATTTAATTATTTATTCTTATTTTTGAGTATCTTTTTTAAGTTTTGAAAAGAAAACTAATTTTTTTTTTAAATGGATCTAAACTGGGAGCATCCTTTTAGGAGGGCATTATGTGTGATTGCTTTTTATTGTTACAGTAATTAGAGAGGTATGAGGAGATTACTGTGTTTAATGGGGATTAGGAATGATAAATATCCTAAAGTCTTCACAGGACAAATTGTCTGGTGCTTGGAGCCTATCTTGTCCCTTTGGGAAACACTGCCTGCAGGTTTAACTAACATGAAATAACTGTGCCAATAGCACCATCTAGTGAGGGAATTAGGTACCATGCTGAATCTACTTTCCTCACAGAAATGAGAAAATTAAAAATTCTCAACTATGTAAAATAATAAATTATAGACTCAGATTTTTGAAGCAGGAAGGAAATTTAGAGCTAGTATAATTCACCTTCCTCTTTTACTGGTAAGGAAACTTACCAAAGAGGTGAAGTGATTTATCTAATAACATGCTTAGTAGCAAGATCCCTGGCACTTGTTTTCCAGGTTAGTATTTTGAGCCTTAATTACAGAGCACTATCTTTGTGTTTTATTTGGATTACTATCTTAGGTTCTTGAAAAGTTATTCATTTAAGAAGAAAAAGTAGTAAATTAGAACATCTCATTTAATAGGTGTGTTATAAAGTAACTTTTATATGCATACATTATGCCTAATATCTTTTTTGCATTTAATTTTATCACCCAGAGAAATGCATATTCACTTACTTTTTAACTGCTACAATTTAAGCTCTTGAGTGTTGAATTTTATGATAAAACTTTACTGAACATAGAGAAAAATAGGTACATGAAATTTTATTTAAAACTTTATTGTACTGATTGATGAACTGGAACATTAGCAATCAAAAGAAGCAGAAAACTTGGGCAAAAAAATTTAAATTAAATGAACCTCAAAATAATATGCTCCCACTTCTCCTTTGTGTTGGGACATAGAAAATTTTGGTGTAAATCAAATTTGGTTTTTCTTTTTTAGTGAGAAGCATTAGCGAATACTTTGAATGATTTAGATGAAGCTATCTTGAAACTGTGTCACATTCAGCTGGAAAGGAGAAATTTTAAATTATTTTCTGGAAAAATATCTAGAGAAGTGGGTTACAAAATAAAGTGAGTTTTAGCAAGTGACGCCTGCAGTGGTGTTGGAAAACAGTGAAGCTGTGTCAGTGTGTGAGACTAAAACAAGCTAGTTTCCTGGTAGATAACAAAAAAGACAATGGTATGCCAATGACACTCATGATGGTCTTAACAGTGGTTATAATAGCAATCAATGGCAGGTAACATTTTCCCACATCTGGACACTGTCTGAATGCATTGCATATGTTATGGGGATCCCTTTAAGGTATAGGTCCTGTTATTATCATTTTACAGGTGCAACTGAATGGTAGAGAACTTAAGTAGCTTGCAAAGATCTCACAGATAGTAAGTACCAGAGTAGAGGTATGTTTGTTTCTAACATGAAACTTTCTTGTTTTAACCCATTGGAAACAATTTTAGTCTTTTGCATTATTGTTTCTAAAATAATGTTCATTTTTAAAATCTGTTTTGGTCCCTTTAAATTTTATCTCGGTTACTTTTCTAGCTCTAGTAATCCAAGTACCCTTCTGCTTCAGTGTTGTCTCACGTGATTATTTTATTTACCACAAGTCTATGTGGGATACAGGAGGGGATGCTAGAATGATTAAGGTGTTAATGAGAGTCAAAATTCAGAATAGCTAATACCAAGATTTAACCTCTTACAGGGAGTGAGGGCTGAACAAGTTTTGTTGGAGAGTCCAATAAATAGAAATAGCAAAATTTGGACACTTTTCAGTTTTATTTTTAAGGAACATTTTGTCTACAAATAGAGTACCAGTAGGCTTCAATGTGGTCTAGACTTGTTACATATTTTTCTCTGTTATTGTTTTGGCATTTGAGAAGTGTTCATACCATAAGAAAAGTTTTTATACTACTTCACTCTTTATGAATATCATATTCCACTGAGTTTCTAACTGAATAGTAGCAAATTCTTTCTCAATAATATGTCCCTTAATGCATATTTATGCATATTGCTACTGTAGTCTAGATTAAACTAGATCCTTCTTCACTTATAAATGTATGACATCATCACTTATGACCAAACATAGCACCCTCTAACTACTACATGCCTCTGGTTGCTCACCAGGGGGAAGGAGAAGTTGTAATAGTTGACTGTATTCTGGGTTCTGGACTGGATATTTTGCAAGATATCAAATTTTATTATCCTGATGATCCACTGCTTTAATTTCAGTTTTATAAATGAATCTTAGACTCTTGGAGACTGAATTTTTGGTTCACAGGCACACACTCTGGCACCAGATTACTTAGGATCAAATTGTGGCTCTGTCTAACTAGCTTTGCAAACTTCACCAAGTTATTACTTAACATCTGTGGCCCTTGGTTTCCTCATCTGCTCTTTAAAAAGGGGGTAATGATAGTACTTATCTCATAAGATTGATATGAGGATTAAGTGAGTTAATATAGTGAGTTAATGTTTATAGTATCATTAGTATAATACCTTGCACATGGTGTCATATAACTGATTATTACTTAAAAGAATAACTGGTATTTTGAACCCAAATGTTTTTGGTTCTAAAACCAATGGTCTTTTCATTAGCCCAGTTTTCTGCCTTACAAAACATTTCACTGAAACACATTACTTGTGTTTCTCTGATTGGATGTAGTCATTACTGATTCTGTTTTAAGAAGGAAAAGTTGTCTAGAAAGTCTTATTCTTTCTTTCTTTGTTTTCATGTTTGATGAACACAAGTTCCTTATATTTGCTATTATTTTTGTTAATAAGGGACATATTATTGAGTTAGGCTTATAAGTGAGTTAGGCTTATGATGAAGAGCATATTTACTTAAAAAATGTTTTCACTTGGTGTATAGTTGTGTCTCTTTCTCTTTTGTAGTAAGAACATTTAACACAAGATTTACCCTTTTAGGTAGTGTAGCTTGTACCATTGCCCTAGTGTTCCCTGTGAGTTGAGGCCAGAGTGTGCTCCTTGGGAAGCTTCTGGGAGTATTAGGGAAATTGGATAACTACTGCAATGCTCCTTTCCCTTGTAATACCTGTGGGCCCAGGGAAATCTGTCTTGTATTGGGCAAACTTGGGGGAGGCAAAGGGGTGAGACCATTTTGCCATTCTAGTTCAGATTTCATTCAATTCTGCAGAGTGCACTGGTATCTCAGGCTTGTTTCTAAGTGTGAGTGTTTTCAGAAGGATGTTCCAAGCAAAGTCTATTGAAGTATCATCTTACAGTTTTCAGTATTTCATTTGTTTTTTTTGTTTTGTTTTGTTTTTACCCTATTAGCTAAGCTGTGCTTTATAAAATGATATGATTTCAATTGGAGCTCTTTCAAGTCACTGTATATTTTTATGAATTATTTTAGATTACCTTACTTGTTTGTCTCTGTCTCAGATTGTATTTATATTATGACTGTGATGCCCTGCTATTGACAGATATATATTCTTGTAGGTATTTGAAATTCAGCCATAAATATTTTTGTGTATATATGATATATATATATATATATATATATATCACACATATATTACAACTTGTGCATTGATAGATATGTATATATATATAAAACATAGGTTATATATTTATATGTTTGATATATGTATTCATCTGATATATTCCAGTTTATGCACACATATACATGTCTATCCATATCTGTGCAGTAGGAAGGTCTTCATTATTGTTCTTTAAATATTGGATAAAATTTACTTGAATTTCAAAATTTTACTTGAATTTCAAATTATTTTTTCCTAAATTTTCTCAGCATTTGAAATGGTATTTGATAAGTATTGATGTAGCATCAATGTAGATGACTTGTATTAGCATGTGATGTACCACATTTGCCTCTTTGGGTGTCACAGTCACACTATTTTAAGAGTTTTTGAAATCACATTTTCATCAATATAATATTTTTTCTTTGTTTTAATCAAAAGTAAAATATTTGGAAAATAGGTAATCACTTATTTTTCAGTTCTTGTAGAGAGAATGTTAAGAAATGTGAAGAAATTGAACAGGCTTATGAAAATATTTATTGTTACCTTATGGAGGATTTAACAATAATTTTTGTTACATTTTAATATACTTCAGAAGTAAAATTTTTATTTCTTCTTTATCATCAGATACCTCATTTATACTCTTAGGGGAACTACTAACAACAGTTTTTAAAGTAGCCTTCCAGAAATATTCTGTTTATATTCAAGTATGTGTATGTAGGTATGAGGGTATGATGGAATTGTATGTGTGCTCATTGTATATAAGATATAAGATCCATATATATGTCCTTTAAAATACTTTGTAAAGATATTCTGAATGACTTAAATATATTCTTTCTCACATACATTAAGGAAAAGTAGATAAGTTGATGTACATTAAAATATATAACTGTCTTTTGTTTCTGCATGCTTATTTGAAATCTTGTAATTGTTCTAGTGGTATATATTAGGAGTGAATTATCTTTAGTGTAGTGTAATAACTTTTTATATGTTAAAACATAAAAATTTAAAAATTTATTTTTATATAAGTATAAACATTTTCATTTGTATAGAGATTTTACCCTTAGTACATATTCTTATTATCCATCATACTGAGAATAGTAGTTTATCTTTGGGGAGTTAGGTATTATTGTGAATGTTGTGTTGGGCAGGGAGTAAAAAGGGACAGTGGCAGTCTCTTTATTTCTATAATATCATAGTATTTGAATTTTTAAAGTCAATGAACATATTCTGCTTTTATTAAAATGGTGGTAGAAGATGTTTTAAAAACATATAGTGACATAAAGGTACATTTTTAAAAAATGTCCTCATAACTAAGTTCATTGTGTGCTTTTATTAATTTTGGTTATAGGCTTGTGTGGATGTAAGAGCCAGTTCAGTGTTTTGGCAGCAGATGGAGTTTGCAGATAGCCTCCAAGGTCATCCCAAGTTACCGGAATGGTTATCTACACATCCTTCTCATGAAAACCGAGCTGAACAATTGGATAGGCTCATACCACAGGTCAGCTAACACTGTACAAAGCAGGAAATTATTTTTGCTCTATCACTTGTCATTAATGCTGTTATTTCTTTTGCATAGATAAAGAAAGTTCTAGCATGTCAACTATTTGTTTATTATGATTATGGATTATCAATTTTTAAGGAATTGGGCTGAAAAGTATAATCCTGCATGTCCACAGTCGTGGGGAGAAAATTGCTCTGTTAGTTGACTTTTGTCAGTGGTGAAGACAATCCTTTAGTGTGCGACTTTTAATTTTAACTGATTTGATAAAAGTTTAAAACTAAAATTTAAAATTAATATATGTGTGTGTGTGTGTGTGTGTGTGTGTATACACACATACATATATACACTACCTTGGTTATAATTTAAGTTTTCCTTGGTGATATAAGCTTTTTGTTAAAAATACCAGTAATTTTATTTTGCTGTATATGGATTTCCAGTTTTCCCAGCATAATTTGTTGAAGAGACTATCTTTTCTCCAATGTATGTTTTTGGTGACTTTTTCAAATATAAGATAACTGTAATTATGTGGGTTAGTCTCTGTATCCTGTATTCTGTACCATTGGTCTACAAGTCTATTTTGGTGCCAATACCATGCTATTTTTGTTACTATTGCTCTGTAGTGTAGATTAAGGTCTGGTATAGTGATGCCACCTGCTTCACTTCTTCTTGATAAGAATTGCTTTAGCTATTCTGAGTCTCTTATTTTTTCAAATGAATTTCATGACTGCTTTTTCTATTTCTATGAGGAATATCATTGGAATTTTGATTGAAATTGCATTAAATCTGTATAATGCTTTTGGTAGTATGGTCATTTTGATAATATTAATTTTGCCTATCTAAGAGTAAGGTAGATCTTTCCATCTTCTAAGGTCTTTTTTAATTTCTTTATTTAGCGTTCTATAGTTTTCATTGTAGAGGTCTTTCACCTCTTTCATTAAGTTTATTCCCAAGTGTTTTAATTTTTTTGAGGCTATTGTAAATGGGGTAGTTTTCCTCATTTCCCTTTCAAAGGATTTGTCACTGATATACAGAAATGCCTTTGAGTTATGGGTATTGATTTTGTATCCTGCTACTTTGCTGAGTTCATTTACTAGTTCTGGAAGTTTTCTCATGGGATTTTTTGGATCTTCTAGGTATAGACTTTCTCATCATACACAAAACTCAACTCAAAGTGGATCAAGAACCTAGGAATTAAACCAGAGACATTGCATCTATTAGAAGAAAAAGTAGGCCCAATGTTGGATTAGGCCCCAGCTTTCTTAATAAGACTCCTATAGCATAAGAATTAATATCAAGGATCAATAAATGGGATGGATTCAAACAAAAAAACTGTTTCTCAGCAAAAATCAGTGAGGTGAATAGAGAGCTACAAATTGGGAACAAATTCTTACCACACATATATCATTAGAGCACTAATTTCTAGAATATATAAAGAACTTAAAAATCTTAACCAACACCAAAAACAAACAAACAAAAAAACAAAACAAACAAAAAACAACCCAAATAGCCCAATCAATAAATGGGCTAAGGAACTTAACAGACACTTCTCAGAAGATGATATACAATCAGTCAACTAATATATGAAAAAAATGTTCAACATCTCTAGCAATTGGAGAAATGCAAATCAAAACTACTCTAAGATTTCATCTCATTCCAGTCATAATGGCAGCTATTAAGAATATAAACAATAAGTGTTGGCGAGAACGTGGGGAAAAAGGTATACTCGTACATTGTTGGTGGGACTGCAAATTGGTACACCCAACATGGAAAGCAGTATGGAGAATCCTTGGAAAACTGGGAATGGAACCACCATTTGACCCAGCTATCCTACTCCTCAATCTATACCCAAAGGGCTTAAAAACAGCATACTACAGGGACACAGCCACATCAATGTTTATAGCAGCTCAATTCACATTAGCTAAACTATGGTCTGCTTCCCAACTCATACATGACTGTCTTCTATTGGTAATCTCACACTGTGGAAGAAGCAAGGGAATTCTCTGGAATATCTTATAAGGATACTAATCCCATTCAAGAGGGCTTCATTCTCATGACTTACTTACTTCTCAAAGGCCTCAACCCCTAGCACCATTTTGGAATTTCAACATACGAATTTTTAGGGACATGATTATTTATGATATTTGGTTATTTACTCTAACCAAATTCCATTTATATTCTTAATTTAAAGAAAAGTTATTTGAGAAATTCCAGTAAAATGTACCAGGTATAATGTATGGTAATCATTTATCATAAAAGGGCAATGTAGACCTAGTCTCATCAGTTACTGATAATACTGAGGTTCATTGACTGTAAGAGACTCTTCAGTGCTACAAGATCTAGGGACCTGTGGTTCCTTAGGCATCCTGTCTCTAAAACCATAATAAACTAAGATTTCTTTTGGAAATTCCCTTTTTATTTACATCCAGTGAAATTCTTAAAAAAAAATGTGGTTTATTTAAACGGACAAATGTACTAGCCAACTTTGATTAGAAGCCTTTCCTAAATTCTGAGTTGTCATTTCATCAGATTACTGAGGATCTTCAGAGAGGTTAAAAAAAAAAAATGTGCTTTAATTTTTTTTAAAGTAATGAGTTGATTCTTAAGTGTGGGAAAAAATGGTTGGAGAAACTAATATTATTTTGAAGCCAATGATGAAGAAAAACATGGGAGGTATTTTTCTTCTAAAAATAAACTATCCCAGTTCAGAAACTTAATTTGAAAACCTCAGATACATTTCTTATATTTCCCCCCCAAGTGATTAAATTCAATTTGAAAGCAATAAAACTCTATTGCAATATTGGGAATAATTCAGTGGTTGAAAAGAAACTGATAGTTAGTATACGGGTATATTGTTAATTAGAATACAAAGTCATAACTCAAAGATTCTAATTCTCTACTATCATAGGTCTAATTTTTATAATGAAAAAAAGCAATTCTTCAGGCAGTGTGTGGAATTATGTGAGTCTATACACTACTAAAGACAGTATTTTAAATTCCTATTTCATTTAGGATTTTTTTTTCCTACTCAAATGAGTACAATATTATATTTTACCTTAGCCTCCTGTCCTTGGATGTTGCTGATGTTATGGCTAGTGATACATGTCTCAAAGGTAGTTGGGACATTGCATAGACATGTCTAGGCCGGAGGCAATGGCTTCAATGTCACTCAAAAGAGGTGATAGTTGAAGCAGTGAGAGTGGATGAGTTCACCAAGGAACTGATAAAGACCAAGATCTAGAACAGAGTAGCACCAGGAGTAGTTATTTTCTGTATTTAATTGGTCGGAAGAAGACAGAGCCTGTTGTGGGTCAGATTCATAGGAGGAGAACCAAGAAAGCAAGATTTTGTGGTTCTATGATGAGAATACAAATTTTGGTAATTTTTATTTTATTCATTTAAATTACTGACAGTTTAAAATTTTTCTTTTTGGATTCCTTGAATATCATTACAAATATGTATTATTTGTTACAATAGTATGTATTTATATATTTAAGATGTGAATTTGTTTTATATATTTAGCAAATATTTATTGATCACCTATTATGCACTGTGTTGTAGGTGTTTTAGGTCATGTAAACTAGACAGAAATCTACACCTTCATAAAGCTTATTATACAAAGGGGAGACAGACAATAAATAGGGGAGGTAGGGTCTCTCTGGTGTCTCTTTTTGAGAAGAACACTAATTCTGTTGGATCAGTTCACCCTAAATTTAATTTAACCTTAACATACCTCCTGTAGGCCCTATCACCAAATATGTACACACTGAGGGTTAGATATGAGTCTTGGGGGGAAACACTTCATTCTTTAGCAGACAGACAGTGTGTGAGCAGAGATAGGATGGGGTGCTGGAATAGCCCTTTAAAACGGGGTTAGAGAAGGTGCCCCTATGAGGACTCTGGTTTCTTCTCAGAGATGGGTTGCTCGTAAAGAGTTTTGAACAGAGAATTGGAGGAGTGACAAGTTCTAGCAGATGCTTGGAAGAATGTGATTTACAGCTTCCACAGAGCAGTACAATTTTCATATAATTTTGGAGTACTTTAGCATAATATATTGTTCAGAAAATAAAATAGTTCCTTTCCTGTTTTGTTCAAAAATTGAGATAATGCTTCCAAATAAGAAAAAAATCCTTGCTACTTTTTAATGTAAATTCTGAGATAAAACATGTATAAATGTGTATTTAAATATAATCCTGTGATCCACTAGCATTTAAAAAGGATAAATATGGGTTTGTAGTAATAATATTATTTGTGGTTAATAAGCTGATAAGCTATAATTTTATTTACTTGAAATAATCAGTTAAATTTAGGAAACATATCCCACATATTTTGGTTACCATAACAACTTGGGTGAAAAATTGAAGAACAGATGTTGTATCAACCTGTTGATGTTTAATAGTGTGACAGTTTTAAAATTATAGTTATACTGTTCAGACTTTAAATTCATGTACATCATAATTTGTCCTTGAAAGAGATACCCGTTTTTTCAATAAGAATTTTTATAAAATATGAGTGGACATAAATAAGTTAAATTTACTTAAATATTTATTTTAAAACCAAACATTTAATAGATATTTTTGTTCTCTACGTCTTTATTTTTTGTTCTTTTTTGTTATTCTCTATTTCTTATACTTTCCTTCCCCCTCTTTCCCTCCTATTCCTTCTTTGGGAGGTACAGGGAATGGAGGATGATAAAATGTGTAGGAGAAGCATTTGAGGATTATTTGATTATATATTGATTATTATATTATATATTGATTATATATTGATTATTATTTGAGGATTATTAATTATATTTTATTATAATTAATGTCATAATCATAATTTGAATAAGGTTTATTTTTAAACATTTTTAGAGCTTTCAATGCCAGCTTTATTTGTTAACTGTTTTTAAAATCTTGATATTCATGTTCAATTTTTAGGTATCAAAATCACTCAGTAGCAGACTGTAAATGCATTCATTTTAATCTCATTTTATTTTGAATCCTTTAAACTTTCAGGAAGCTAGGGGTTTGAACTCATGCGTAAATCATTCTTATGCCTTTATAATTGCACAAAGTAAATGAATAAATCATTACTATTATACATCTCATGAGCAGAAAATATAAGAGTGTTTAAAGTGAAATGTCATTGTTGGCCAATGTACACAAACATACACTGCTCACCTTACAGAATTTCATTTTGTCTGACATGGAGAGTGTGGAGGAAAAGGCAAATATCATAGCAGCAACTGTAATTGAATTGGCCTCTGAATCATATAAAGCCAGGAGGCCTGACAGTAACATTGTCTAAAACCTTAAAAAGAAAAAAAACCATTATATTATACGTGATGTGTATCTGCTTGAGGTTGAAATGAATGGGCTATTAGGAAAAATTGCTTGTGGGTAAGGGAGGGACAGTAATGATATTTTTAGAAAAACATGTTAAAAATTGGAGGTGATTTTTTTTTTCCCTCCTTGATGTGTCTTGCCTTCTGTTTTCAAAGGACACTTTTAATCCAATAATGAGGTCTCTCTGGCATTATTTTCCCTCCTTTTTTCCTATTAAACTCAATTATTATTGTTTATATTCGAAGAATTAGTAATTGTTTTACTTGATGTAAAGTAGAATAATTCTGATGTGTATCAGTTGTTTCATGAATACTTTAGTTACTGGGAATAAATACAGTGAGTGCCATTCCTAAAATAAATAAATGGGTTTATTATGTACTTTAACCCTTAAAAATTGTATATATTTATGGGGTATGACATGTTTTGATATTTGTTCATGTTGTGGAATGATTAGATCAAGCTAATTAATGAATCCCTCCCCCAAGCTTATTTTTTTTGTGAGGGGTGGCAACATTTAAAATCTATACCTTTAACAGTTTTCAAATATATATTATATATTTTATAGTATAGCATATTTTTGTTAAATATGATCATAATGATGTACAATAGCTCTCTAAACTTATTCCTTCTACCTGAAACTTTGTGCCCTTTGACCAGTATCTCCCCATGCCCATCTCTTTCCCATAGTCCCTGAGAGCTACCATTCTTTCAAATTCTTTGAGTTTAACATTTTAAGATTTCACATATAAGATAGATCATATAATATTTTTTTTCTGCACCTGGCTTATTTCACTTACCATAATGTCCTTGAGATATATCCATGTTGTTACAAATGACAGGATTTATCATTCGCCTTTGTTAAGAGTGGTTGATTATAAAATGTTTTTGTTTGAAAACCTTTCCTGATTATTTTTTCATTATAGAGGACAATCGATAGGTTAAGTGGCCTGAATTTTTACTTTTTAAAATTTACTTTAAATATTCTTATTCATGGTTATTTACTTTAAATCACTTCAAAAACTGGTCAGACTACAATTTCCATTGCAGATTATGAAAAGAGTTGAAGTATAAATTTTTCAAAAGATGAAATCATTACTCATTCAAATATAAAATGAATACATGTGTGAAGTTTTACTTAATGTTTGTTAATTAATGTGGGAAACTAATTGTTACAACTAGTGCAAAGGACAACTCAAGAACCATAGTGTGAGCCAAGAAATCATAAATGAGGTTAAGGGAAAAAGCATAGACAGTTTTATTCAGGTACATAATAGATTGCAAATTAGGAACGCAGGCTCAGACCACACCAGCATTCCACAGCAGGAAAGTGGACTTCAGCTTTTATCAAGTCCAGCAATTGGGAACTAATGCAAAGAAGGGTGGTCGTAAGTTTTGTAGGTCCATCAGAATGTCCAGGTCAAGGCAAAACGGGGTTACTCTGGTATTTCTTGAACATTACATGATATTGTTAGATTCTAGAAAATGGTTCCCTTTGACAGACTCAGTTCCTGCATGATATATGTGTGGTAATCTTGCTCCTGTCAGTAGATCTCTAAGGCTCAGGAAATAATTTTTGCTTTTGCTTTTTCTTTTGTTTTTTTTTTCTCATGTTTTACATTCTGCAGCCATATTAACTTTTATTTCATTAAGAGTTATATAGGCAGTAAGGAATACAAATAGATGCAAAACTCCATTTATAGAGCAGTAATCAGATTCATCCTATGAGACATAGTTCATTTCCATTTCCCATTTCCATAGACAAGTATCATTTTCATTATTATTAATTTTCTATGACTTACAGAGTTGTGAAATAGCTCAAAGACCATGACAGGTACAGATAACCTAGAAGGGCACACTTAATAGACCACCTAATGATATTTTTTGCCCATTTCAAAGTCTTTTATAATTCTTTGTTTTTATTTTCTATTGACATTCTTTCTCCTTTCAAGAAAAAAGATACCTAATCAAATATCCTATCAGACTAATATATAAGCATGTCTTGTTTTATTATTTTGAAGTCATGCAGGTATTATCCTTACCATATTTTTGTTCTGTCTCTTAAAAGTAACAACCCACTGTTGTCATTACTTTTTGTCAGATCTATTGGATTGCAGTTCTTTTTTATTTTATTTATTTATTTTAAATTAATTTTTAAATTTACATATGACAGTGGAATGCATTACAATTCTTATTACACATATAGAGCACAACTTTTCATATCTCTGGTTGTATAAAAAGTATATTCACACCAATTCATGTCTTCAAACAAGTACTGTGGATAATAATGTCCATCACATTCCACCATCATTTCTAACCCCATGCCTCCTCCTCCCTTCCCCTTCCAACCCTCAGCCCTGTCTAGAGTTTGTCTATTCCTCCCATGCTCCCTCTCCCTATCCCACTATGAATCAGCCTCCTTATAACAGAGAAAACATTCGGCTTTTGTTTTTTTTGGGATTGGCTAACTTCACTTAGCATTATCTTCTCTAACTCCATCCATTTACCTGCAAATGCCATGATTTTATTCTTTTTTATTGCTGAGTAATATTCCATTGTGTATATATGCCACTTTTTTATATATATATTCATCTATCAGCTTCCTTAATAAGACTACTTTGGCACAAGAATTAAAACCAAGAATCAATAAATGGGATGAAATAAAACTAAAAAGTTTCTTAGCAAAAGAAACAATCTATGAGGTGAATAGAGAGCCTATATCTTTGGAGTAAATCTTTACCCCTCACACATCAGATAGAGCACTAATCTCTAGGATATATAAAGAACTCAAAAAGCTAAGCACCAAAAAAACCCCACAAATAACCCAATCAATAAATGGGCCAAGGACCTGAACAGACACTTCTCAGAAGATGATATACAAACAATATATGAAAAAATGTTCGTCATCGCTAGCAATTAGAGAAGAGCAAGTCAAAACTACTCTAAGATTTCATTTTACTCTAGTCAGAATGGCAGCTATTAAGAACACAAACAACAGTAAGTGTTGGCGAGGATGTGGGGAAAAGGCACACTCATACATTGCTGGTGGGACTGCAAAATAGTGCAGCCAATATGGAAAGCGGTATGGGGATTTCTTGGAAAATTGTAAATGGAAACACCATTTGACCCAGCTATCCGTCTCCTCATTCTATACCCAAAGGACTTAAAATCATGGCATTTGCAGGTAAATGGATGGAGTTAGAGAAGATAATGCTAAGTGAAGTTAGCATATTACATGGATTGAAGTTCTTAATGTTAAATTCCTTAGGTATTTTGAAAAGTATATATATGCTTGCTTTCAGAAATTAAGGGATGGAGTTGGAAGTAGAGGTAATAGTAAAAGGATTGGTTTCATTTTCCAGGAGGAACATTTAAAACTTTCATGAGCCATTTAAAACTAAAAACACCACTGTAAAATCAAGAGTGAAGTTGCATAAAGGCAAAAGTGATAGAAGAGAAGTGAGGACAGAGAAGGAAAAGTACTTTAAAATGTATGTTTTAGTTTTAAATTTTAAAAACCCATGTAAAAGTAGAGAATGACTTGAATAATTAATGAAACTCAATTTCACTCATCTGACAGTATCAGTCCTTTTATGCATTTGCTCATCTGTCCTTTTCTGCCCCTCCCCCAGATGTATTTCAGTGTAAATAGCGGACATCAGGGTATTTTATCCCTAATTATCTGGGAGGAACAAATAACTCTTTACCCTTCATAGTTCTTCCTTAGGACAAGTTTCCTGTAACAAAGGGCAGATTAACAAGAGAGGAACAGATGCAAGTTTATTAACATGTAAACTTCATGTACACATAAGTGATACCAGGGAAAGAGGATTTTGAATTCAGGCTTAAATAACATCTTCAGCTGAAACACAGAGAGCATAATGAGGGCCTTGCTATGGGGAGATGGACAGAAAAGTATGGTAAGCAAGTGTGGTAAGGTGTGTTGTGCAGGTTTAAGTCAGTATCTTTCCATTGTTTAGAGTCTCTAGTGATTTACAGAGTAATCTTTCTTTTCCTGGTACAGAGAAAGACATTTTCTTTATAGATGTAAATTTCTCTATCAAAAGGGTAACTTCTGCCATTTTCAGAGCTTCTTCTGTGTGTGTTGTTTCTTAAAATAAGTTCAAAATAATTATTGTGCTAAAGAGATATTTGGGATGTCATTTTCTGGACTGATAGTCATATTTTGGGATGATATGTCCGGAACTTCATTTCAGGGGAACAAAATGTTTTCCTTCTACACTTCTGTTTTTTTTTTTTTTTTTTGGCTACCCTAGTTATTAAATTCATGTAAAACAGTTTAGTAGGAGAAAAACCATATTTAATTATATACATATGCACAGGAGTCCCACAACAATATGAAATTCAAAGAAGAGTCAGATCATTAGAGCTTATATAGCATCCTGAGCTACAGAAAGGAATAAGATTGGGGCTTTTAGGGTGGGGTGGGATAGAAGTTCCAGGAGGGTAAAGGGAGGAAATGTATGGTGAATAAAAGTTGCCTTGTTGTACAGATAAAAAGTCTCTCAAGTAATAAAGTTGAAGAATAGATGATTATCTGGGCATGGCATCAACCTCCAGTCTCTTCTCCTGTGCTGTGAGTTAATCTTTCCTGATTGATAAGATTACCCAAGAAGAAATTCATAACAGTTGAGTTCCTTTAGGAGTATCTGTCTTTAGGCAGATGGGGGGTTTAGAGAAAGCCTTGCTTTCCTTCTGTGTTCTCCAAATGTCCTTAGTTCAAAGTAATCAGCATACCTAAGTGCCATATTCAGGGTAGCATTTCCTGAGCTTGTTCACTGTATACTTCAATATGCATTTCAGGAAGTAGTGTCCATATATTCTGTAAGTATACCATTATCCTCTTACATGGGTTCAGCTTAACATGGCTGCAGCTAACTTGAGTTGTCATCTCCATGATTACTTTGGAGTAACCTTACTTAGTTTTCTGGCATTTACCAGGAAACTGTAAATAGACAAAACCATTAGTTATTCCAGCAAGGATGAAGTCGCTTTTGTCCTAACCAATATGTATGACCTCTCTTTCTGACCCAAATTGAAGGGGTATAACTGGTCTCGCTGCCACATTTCTGACAGTAAGTCCCCAATAAATTGCACTCTGGTCTAATGATACTTTGGGGCCCAATTCTCATATACTGAGGCTAGGTTGTTCTGTAACACCTGCTTAAGGAAATTCATAGTTTTTCCTTAAAATTAAACATCTGTCCATATTTAGATATTTAGATTTCTTTATCTCAAAATAGAGTTTTATAGTGGGTTTGTTCAGATTGCAATCCATTATGGTACACATATTGCATTTTGTTCTCATGACCCTTCAGTCTCCTTGACTTTAGAACAGTACCCCTCACTTTGATCTTGCTTTTCAATATGTCATTGACTTGTTGAATAGATCTACTTCCACATTCTAGATTCTAGATTTATTTGATTGCTTCTTTGTGGTATCATCTAACTTGTTTCTCCACACACTTGTAACTTGAAGTCCAGTTGGGGCAAAAGCATTTTATAGGCAGTGTATTATGCTTCCCATTTCTTAATATCTGGCTACCCACATGCTCCAGAGTCCATCAGTGTGTTTTCCTGACTCTTTAATTGTGCATTAAGTTTTCCCCCTTATAGCTAACAAGAGATTGTGGGATGATAATTTCATACCCTACAATTATCCAGTTCTCAACCTGAGCTTTCATGATTGAAAGCTTTTCTATTTGAAGAGGCTGACCTTAGTGTGTGTCTTCAGGAGGAGTCTATATAAAACAGTGAAGAAGGAAATTAGACCAGCCAAATCAACCCTACTGAAATAAGAATGTTAAAGTTATATTTTTCTCCTATTCAAGAATAGATTGAACGAACAGGTAGGTAAGAAAGGCTTAAAAAATCAGAATGATAATAAGTTACAAGAGTTAGAAAAAAATAGCTGAAAAGAGAAGAATGATAAAGGTAATTTCATCTAAAAAATTTATTGAACATTTCAGTGTCCTTAACTAGTAGCACCAGAGGAACCTCATCTAAACTAAATCTAGTAATAACATTGAAAAACAAAGCCTCAGAAATGCCCATTGTCTCCTCATAAGATAAGCCTTAATAGTAGAAAAACATAAAAAAGGAAAAATCAAATATCAGGCGTCGTTTCAAAATTTCACTGCTGGAGTGAGCAGAGGAGGTAGCAAGAGCTCCTACAGAAGCAGTGCCACCTGAAGCTGGCATGATAAGCCTGACTTGACTGCATCAAAGTGACAGAACAAGAAAGTAAGATACGTTCCTTTTCGAAAATTGCAAAACTTGTGAATACAGCAGAGCTATAAAACTTTCAGTGGAGGCTATAAAAACCAGAATCGATGCCTCAGAACAAAGACTTATTGATTTGGAAGCTAGAGGAACATAGCACAACCGAATTAAAACACTCAAAGCCAAAAAATGTCCAAAAAATGAAAGAATATTGAAAGACACCAGGAAATCCACGTTGCATGCAACAATATGAGGGACAGATGCGATCATTTTTTTACCGGTGTCTTCATTTCTTTGTGGCATCTATATAACTCACTTTCTGTTGTCGTTGTTTAGATACTATTTCTCAAGATGTGATTTTTAGAAGATTCCCAGAATATCACGCATGAGAACTGCTGACATGGCAAAACTTGAATATCTAAATTTATGAAGGATCCAGTCTTCATTGAAACGATGGGCTCTTACTGGCTACCTAGGTAAAAAAGCAGTCATACCAGAGTAAGAATGATTTTGAACCTTACTCTTCAGATTCTTGAAGAAGTATGAGTCTAGGAGAAAAGACAACCAAAAAAACACCAAAAAATTAATACACTTTGGTATGATATCTAGCCATACTGATATTCTTGTCTTTTAAGATGGAAGATCCTTCATAAATGTAACTCTAACAACATGTCAATGAAGTACTCATTAGCATCGGTGTTTTTTCCCCAGAATCTATTGATGATCAGGAACTAAATCAACTGCACAGTTTAGTTTCTATGATTATATCATTCTTAATTTTATATTATGCCATTGTTAAAGAACCACAAAACAAGTAAGGAATTTAAAAATCAGTTGTATAATATGTAAAATAAGGTGTAACTGACATAAGAAACAAAATGCTAAGTAAAAGGAGTAAATCAAATGCACACTTTTCACAAAATATTATGTTTGTAATATAAAATGTTATGATTTAAAATTTCAGAACATAGTATTAAGTTATTATAATAAAAGTGAAAGGTAAATGACCACATAAAAATTAAAACAATGTGAATGAAAGGTGAGAGATAAATCAACAAACATGAGAATACCTTACAATAAATAAATTTCATAATGAGGTTTTTCTGTTTTTATGGGTTGCTGCCAAAGCTATATTTAGAAAGAATTTAATCAATTTAAATGTCTCTGTTAATTAAAGAAAAAGAGAAAAGTTGTAGATAATTATAAGTGCCTCAAATAAGGGAAATAGAATTAATAAAATTAAGCAGGAATCAAAGGACAGTAGTTGATTCTTTGGGAAATTTCGTTAAGGCAATAATCATTGGATCAGTTAGACAAGGAATAAAATGAAAATAGTATCTGGAGAAGAGATAAATTAACATACTATAAAGATGAATTATTTGGGAGAGTAGTTTTAGTTAGATGATGTTAATTGATAGCTCAGGTTAAAATCAGTAATTAAAGTGTGTGCATATGTGTATGTGCATGAATTGCCAGAGTGATTGCAGCTAGAAGTAGAAAATATAGTAAAATAGAATGAACCTCTTCAAATTAATTTTGGAAAGCAGTTAGGTACAAATAATCAAATGAAAAAAAACCCAATTATAATAAACCCATAGAGTTTTAACATGTGAAGAAAGAAAAGGGCATCTATCCCTGATGGTGATTTACTTTGGAGAATTTTTTTCACAAGTTGAAAGAACAATTACCCAGTGACTAATCCCAGCCTCAAGATATAAAAAGAGTTGTTATCGAGTATCTGATTCATCCTATGTCATTTCATTAGCATAAATGATTTTGTTTCTACAATTTGATAAATATACCTTTAAAAGAATTTTTGGACTGGTTTCATTAATCATCAGATGGTAGAATACTAGGTTTCAACAATTATTTATCATAAGCAAGTAAGTTATCCTTAGATTCATGGGTGTCATCTTAAAAGTAAAACTATTGCCCCCCAGGAAGAAATGTAGGGTTCATCTTTGCTGATTCTCTTTCCTTCCTGTCTGCATCCTATCAAGGAGAAGAACATCTTTTGACTTCCTCTACAGTGCATTAGGAATCTGTCCTCCTCTTTCACCACTGCCACCACCCTGGTACAAGTCACCATCACCTTTCCCCAGTTACCACATGCACTCCCTATTTTAGTCTCCCTGTTCCATTTTTCACCTCAATTCCTAAAACCCTGTTTTCAATAAATGTCCAGAATGATCTCTTTAATGTGATTTCCTTGCTTAAAACCTGCCAGAAGCTTCTTATCTAACTTAGAGTAGAAATTCAGACTCCATACTTAGTCTTCAAGTCACATAATTTGGCCACTGCCTTCCTCTCCTGTTTTATCACTTGTTGCCCCCACCCCCAGGTTTTTCTTGGTTCCAGCCATTTTACATCAAGCTTGTTTCCTCTTAGAGCCCCTCTACTTGCCTATTTCTCTGCCTGGAACATCCTACTTTCAGTTCTTCACACAGGCGTGACCTCCTTGGTGGTTTTCTGTGATCCCTCAATGTCAAGTAGCCTCTCTTCCACACAGTTGTTCTTCATTTTTCTACACAACACACTTTTCATGCTCTTCATGCAAAATGATGTTGTTTACTTTTTTATTGTCTGTCTCTACCCTAGAATGTAAAGCCCCTGTTCATTGTTTCCTTAGTGCCTGTGACAGTTTCTGAGATGCCTAGTGAATATATAAATGAGTGCATGGTGGGTAATGATAGGAAAAATAAGCAATATAATAGTGGGCTAAAAATAGAAAAGTTGGCAGTGGAATTGAATAGCACTTCCACAGCTTTATAGAACATTAGCATCTAGGAAAATTAATAGTTGGTGATGGGGAAAAGAGGCTCATAGGAAGTTGAATTGTTTAAAAAAAATAGCAGAGTGTCAGGAGTCTTGGCCTTTGTTTCTGACCTAGCCACTTAACTTTGAGAAAGGAAATCTAACCTTTGGTTTTCTTCATATTTAAAATCAGGGTAAGCAATATCTTAAAGGAGTTGCTTTATGTACTTGTGTGGATGAGGTTCTACCTGCTTCTCTCCTTCATTGCCTGCCTCCTTTATAAGACACTTTATGGTAAGGATTATATACCAGGCCCAGGACTTAAACTGTGACTCATGTTGTAACATCAGTTTCGAAAACATGTGAACGATACCTGGCATGGTGCAAGGCACAA